TCCCTTCCCACCCCCCACCTCCAAGACCCCCCCCCCTTGCCTCTCCTTCTCCCCCTCCCCTTTAACCTCTCCCCTGCTCCTCCCTGTTACCATCCCCCTCCCCTTTAAACCTCCCCCTCCCCCTCCCCTTTAACCTCTCCCTGCTACTCCCCATTACCCCCTTCCCTCCACCTTCCCCATTACCTCCCCTCCCTCCACCTCCCTCATTACCTCCCCTCCCTCCACCTCCCCCATTACCTCCCCTCCCTCCACCTCCCCCATTACCCCCCCTCCCCTCCACCTTCCCCATTACCCTCCCCTCCCTCCACCTCCCTCATTACCTCCCCTCCCTCCACCTCCCCCATTACCTCCCCTCCCTCCACCTCCCCATTACCTCCCCTCCCTCCACCTCCCCCATTACCTCCCCTCCCTCCACCTCCCCCATTACCTCCCCTCCCTCCACCTCCCCCATTACCTCCCCTCCCTCCACATCCCCCATTACCCCCCTTCCCTCCACCTCTCCATTACCTCCCCTCCCTCCACCTCCCCCATTACCTCCCCTCCCTCCACCTCCCCCATTACCTCCCCTCCCTCCACCTCCCCATTACCCCCTCCCCCTCCACACCAGGACGGCGCTAATGAGGGATGGATGCCACACCTTCGTCAACCAACTTATCGACCCCTTCCACTGCAGCATTATAATATTCCGTGCTACCTAGGAAGGAGGGAAGGAGGGAAGGAGGGAGGGAGGGAGGGAAGGAGGGAGGGAGGGAAGGAGGGGAGGGAGGGAGGGGAGGGGAGGGAAGGAAAGGAGGGAGGGAGGGATGGGGAGGAAGGGAGGGAAGGAAGGAGGGAGGGAGGGAGGGAGGGATGGGGAGGAAGGGAGGGAAGGAGGGAGGGAGGGAGGGGGAGGAAGGGAGGGAAGGAGGGAGGGAGGGGAGGGAGGGATGGGAGGAAGGGAGGGAAGGAGGGAGGGAGGAGGGAAGGAGGGAGGGAGAGGAGGGGAGGGAGGGAGGAGAGGAGGGAGGGAAAGAGGGGAGGGAGGGATGGAGCGAGGGAGGGGGATAGATGGATGGAGGGAAGGAGGGGATAGAGGAAGAATAAAGGAGAGGGAGGGAAAGGGGGAAGGGGATAGAGGAAGGATAAGGAGGGAAGGGATAAAGGGAGGGAGGGAGAGAAGGGGAAGGAGGGAGGGAGAAAGAAGAAGGGAGGGAAAGAAGAAAGGGGGAGGAAGGAGGGAAAGACGAAAAATGGGAGGTGGGAATGAGACAGAGAAGACACAGAGAGAGAGGGAGGAGGACGAGGGGGGGGGGGGCAGAAAGGAGGAACTACGAAGAAGACACATAAGAAGGAGAGGGGGATATGGGGTCTAAGTACATAGTAGGGATGGAGGGAGGGGGTGGGCGGATGGAGGGAGGGGGGTGGGCGGTATGGCGTCGGGGGGAGGAGGAGGATCAATACCATGGCACAAAAAACACCCCCATAGACAAATATGAGATACCAAGGTCGTCGCTCTCCATACACAACCATCTTCATCCACTCGAAGCCCCTCCCATCTACCACAACCGCCTTCCTCCACTCCCCATCCTCCACAACCACCTTCATCCACCACAACCACCTTTATACACCAAAACCACCCTCATCCACCACAATCAACACAACCACCTTCCTCCACCACAACCAGCTTGATCCACTAGAAACCCCTTCCTCCACCACAACCACCTTCCTCCACCACAACCAGCTTGATCCACTAGAAACCCCTTCCTCCACCACAACCACCTTCCTCCACCACAACCACCTTCATCCACTAGAAACCCCTTCCTCCACCACAACCACCTTCCTCCACTCCCCATCCCCCGAGAACTGAGCCTCTTCATTATCCACACAAACTTCCCTCTCATCTTTTCCGTCAAGTTTCCCGATTATCCACGTGAATTCTTCCAGTCCCCCTTCCCCCCCCACACACACACTTTCGGTTTACTTCCCTTATCATCATCTATAACTTTTACTTCCTTTTTACTTCCACTTTCTTCCTTTCATCTATCCCCCCTCCTCTCTCCTTCACCCCTCCCTCCCCCCCCTCTTCCGGTAACGCCTCCTCCCCAACAAATAAAACCCATTTGCGGGGGAATCGATGGGCCTGCATGATTGATGGTGGCTAACGGATAGCCTAAGGGAGGGGGGAAGGGGAGGGGGGAAGGGGGAAGGGAGGGGGGGAAGGGAGGAGGGAGGACTCGGGGTCTGGCCGCACCTCGCCCAGGTAAAAGGTCTCTTTTCTCTTTTTTTTTCTCTTTCTCTCTTTCTCTCTCTCTCCCTTTTTCTTTCTTCTTTCTTTCTTTTGCGTTCTTCCTTTTATCCCTCTTTCTGCCGTGCCCTTTCTCTCCTTCACTCGCTTGACGTGGAATAGCCATGCTTTATTACGCACTATTATGCTTCATTCCACTATTATGCTATATTCTATCCACCCCCCCCATCCTCCACCCATAGCAATACTCAACCCCGTCAACTTCGCAACCTCACA